GTCTTCCTCAGCAAAAAAAAAAAAAAAGAGGAGGATTGGCATTGGATGTTAGCTCAGGGCTGGTCTTCCTCACACACACAAAAAAGCACTTGGTTGATAATACTATATTTTTAAGGATATATACATATGGAGTGAAAGTCTCAATGCATCCGTGGAAACAATTAGCACCAAATTCGGGGTAGGGGTTACCTTTGAGAAGGGAGAGACAATCAGATCTTGGAGGGGGTTTATGGGGAGTCAGGTGTAACTCATGTTTTAAAGCTGGTAGTTAGTATATGAGTGTGTGTGTGTGTGTGTGTGTGTGTGTACTTTTTTATTTGATAAAATACACATAACATAAAATTTACCATTTTAACCATTTTAAAGTGTACAATTCTGTGGCATTAAGGACATTCATGATGTTATTATACAACCATCCCCACTATCTACTTCCAGTACTTTTTCGTCACCCCAAACAGAAACCTGGATCCATTAAGCAGCATTTCCCATTCTCTTCTCCCCCCAGCTCCTCGAAACCAATAGTCAGCTTTCTGTCTCTGTGGACTTGCCTACTGTGGACATTTCACATCAACTGAGTCGTACAACACGTGGTCTTTTATGACTGGCTTCTTTCACTGAGCATAATGTTTTCCAGATTCATCCATGTAGTAGCATGTATCAGTAATTCATTCCTTTTTATGGCTGAATAATATTCCATTGTATTTTGTGTATCCATTCATTTGTTCATAGACGTTTGCGTTGTTTCTACCTTTTGACTATTGTGGAGAGTGCTGTTATGAACATTTGTGTATAAGTTTTTGTTTGAGTGGCTGTTTTCAATTCTTTTGAGTATATGCCTAGGGTGTGTGTGTGTGTTATTATCTATATTTTAAAGGTTTAAAATATTTTTTCCTAACAAAAAAAGAAATGAATTCAGGAATGAGGATAGTAGGAAAGAAAATTTCCAGCAGAGAGATCAGCATGTTGCGTGTGCGGGATCTTGCCTTGGGGGAGCTCCCAGGCCTTGGATTGGGGCATCAAAGGCGGCCAGTGTGGCGGAGAGAGGCCGGAGCTGCACGAGCGACTGGTCCGGCTGAACGCTGGATGCACTCCGAGTGCACTGAGAAGCCATTGAAAAGGTTTTAAGCTGGAGAGTCATATGATCCGATTAGTGTTTTAGAGAAATTCCTGTGGGACCCGCGTGGAGGCCCAGCCGGATGCAGGGGAGGCCGAGGCGGGGAGCAGGGAGGAGGTGGGGCGCGGGTCCAGGTGAGAGAGGGGGCCTGGGGCTGGGAAGGAGGCTCCGGGTGGGGGGGGGCGGGACCTGGCGCTGATTGGCTCAGGGCTGCACCCTTGGATGCCATTCCCACCGCAACCGCCTCCTCATTGGCTCTCCTGCTTCTAACCCCTCTCCCTCCCATCCAGTCTCCAGCACCCAGAAATCGCATCACGTCACTCCCACGCCCAATATCCTCCCGGGGCTCCCCATCCCTTCCTCTCCGACTTCCTCGCAGCCTGCTTATAACACTCTACCTGTCTGGCCCCTGGGGCCTCCCACCACTGATTTCTTACTCTCTCCCTCTGCTTCGCTCTGCTCCAGCCACACGCCCTTTTTGCTTTCCGGACTCAGGGCCTTTGCACATGCCTTTCCCCTGCCTGGAATGCCCGTCCTCTAGATTTCCATAGAGTTTCCCTTTCTTCCCTCATTTCTTTCAGATCTCCTCAAAGGCGCCTGTCCCATCCACCCTAGCAAATAGCCCTCCGGTCACCTCTAGTCCTGGCTCTGCTTTAATTTTCAACGTGTATGTATCGCAAACAAGCATTGGGCTACCTGTGATCACCCATTGATGGCATATCTCCCCTCCCTCTGAAATATAATCTCCCCGAGGGCAGGGGTTTGCTTGGCCTGTCTGTGTAACTGCTCTACCCCCAGCACCGAGCCTCGCACATCTACAAATATTTGTGGGTGAATAAAGGGGGATGAAGGGTGAGGAGGAGCCAGGCGGACTGGGGCTCAGGTTCCGGCGGGGGGACGCCCCTGAAGGGGAGAAGCCTGAGGTGACGGGGAGATGGGAGCCCAGGCGAGCGTGCAGGTATAGAATCAGGTGCTCCGACAGACAGCTGCGTGGAAGTGGTCAGCGTCTGGACGGTAATTGATGCTCTGGAGGGATTGAGATAGCCCCCAGGGTAAACCCCTGCGAGCCTCAATTAGCACGTCTATACAATGGGGCCACAGTGAGGCCAGTTAGGTAGAAGGTCCGGCCCAGCGCCTGGCACTCAGGAGACACTCGGGAAATGGGGTGAGTCCCTTTCGCTACTGTCTCAGAAGAGAAAGGGCGGGCTGGAGGTGAGCGGGCGGGAGCCTTCTGAGGTCCCTATTACTCCGTAGCCAGCGGCCATCTCCATGGCAACCCTAGCACTTTTCCAGGCCCCGGTCTCTCGAGGCCAAGCCCATCTGGAAATGGGTGGGTCTTGTCCCTAGAGGCGGTGCCTGTGTCTAAGGGGGCGGGTCTTGTTTCTTCAAAGCAGAAGATTTTTTTTTTTCACCCTGAAGGGTGAGTCTGGTTCCTGGTTCCCTGGTGGCGGTGGCAGAATGGAGAGGAATATCTCTAAGGATGAGGGCCCCCTGGGGCTCACCTGGAGCCTTTTCAAAAAGGGAAATCGTGGATCTCCAGACAAAATGTCTTTCTTGAATGCCAATCTCTTATCTGTTTTCTCTCCCCACATATGTATGTCTCCTTCCTTAAAATGTTTTTTCTTGTGAAAATATAAGACACGTAGATTAAAAGGGTACGATACAAATGCACAATTATAGAATAATTATAAAATGGTCACCAGATTAAGAAACGGAATGTTAGCAGCCACCCCAGAGCCCATGGAAGGTTCTGGCATGTGCCATCCCGAGCTTAACCTGTCAAACCCCACTGTCCTGAGTTATGGAAAAATGTTTTCTTTGCTTTTCTACCCACAGTGCATCCTAAACAATATTACAGCTTAGTGTTGCTTGCTTTGAATGTTACAGAAACGGAGTCATACTCTATGTATCTGGCTTCTTTGTAACTTTCATTCACGTAATTGTGTGTATCTGTACTCATGCCTTCTCGTCGCTGTATAGTATTCCATAGCATAATATACCAACATTTATTTATCACTGTACTGTTGGTGGATGTCTTAGTCTGTTCGGGAGGGTATAACAAAATACCATGGACTGGGTGGCTTATCAACAACAGAAATTTATTGCTCACAGTTCTGGAGGCTGGAAGTCCGAGATCAAGGCTCCAGCATGGTCGTCTTCTGGGGAGGGCCCTCTTCCTTGTTCCAGGCAGCGCCTTCTCCCTGTGTCCCCACATGGTGGAAGGGGCTTGGGATCTCCCTGGAGCCTCTTTTATAAGGTCACTACTGCCATTCATGAGGCTCCGCCCTCATGGCTCAAGCACCTCCCAAGGGCCCCACCTCCAAATACCATCGCATTGGGCATTAGGATTTCAACATATGGATTTGGGGTGGGGAGGGCACAAGCATTCAGACCACAGCAGTGGGCATTTCAGTTGTTCTTGGTTTGGGGCTGTACACATTCTTGTGGTGAGTGTTCTCATACCTGTCTCCTCGTGCAGGGGGACACGAGTTTCTTTAGGGTTCACGCCTAGCAGTGGGATTACTGCATCGCAGGATGTGCACATCCTCAGCCTCATTAGAGCATGCCCATCTCCCAGGCATCTTAAATTTAAGAAGCTCAAGATGGAATTCTTGATCCCCCTATGCCCCCGCCCAAACTGGTTCTTCCTCGGTTTTCTGGTCTTAATACAAAGTGCCATCACCCAGCCAGTCCCTCCTGATTCCTCCCTCTCCAGTACACACACACACACTCACATGCACACACACACAGACACACACACACACACACACGCACTCACACATTCTACCTCCAGAATTCATCTTGCATCCACCATTTCTCCCCATCCCTGTGGTCCAGGCCCCACCCTCTCTCCTGGTGGACTGCAGTAGCCTTCTGCTGCTTTCACTCTGCTCCTTCCAGTTCCTCCTCCTCTCAGCAGCCAGAGGGATCCTTGTCAAGTGCAAGAGTGATCACATCTACCCACACTTAAACTCTTGCTTGCCATTGCCGGGAAAGCACAGTCAAATGCCTATCTTGGCCCACCAGACTCTGCGAGACCTGACCCCTGCTTACCCCTCCCCCCATCTCATTCCTCCCTCCTCTGCATTCACTCCCCTCCTGGGCCCATCCAGGTGTCCTCCTGGCTGGTCCCTCCTCACCCTTCCGGCCTCAGATCAAATGCCACCTCTGCCAAGAAGGCATTCCGAGAAGGACCACCACACCTCAGGTGGCATAGCCCAGCCACCCACTTTCTTAACGTCCTTCCTCATTTCCTTCAGAGTGCTAATAGCCATCTGACATGACCTTCTTCGTTTGAGTACTCTCTTCCACACCCCATCGCCCACGAACTAGAATATCAACTCCACGAGGAGTTATTGTGTTCACAGTTGGATCCCCAGAGGGGGTTACAATGCCCGGTAGGGAATAGGCCCTCAGTACAGGAATGGCATCCAGAGTTTAGGAGGCAATCTGAAGGGCCCACCCATTCTCTGATGGGTGGATCCTATTCTAAGATGCTAGATGCAGCATCTAACCCACAAATTCCGTGGCTGAGAGGCAGAGTGTAAGGGGCGGAGCCTCTTCCAAGGGGTAGGAACTTGTGTCTCAGGAGACAGATTGGTTTTTAGGGGGCATATCCTATGGCATTGGTGATTTCTAAAGGGCGTGTCTGACTTCCAGGGGGCATGTCCCTCTCTTGGAGGTGGATTTTGTGTTCAAGGGGCAGGGTTCCATTTAGATGAGACAAACCGTCTTCAACTTGAAAGGTCCTGTGCTATCTAAAAGACTCGAGATTTCTCAGGAGGGAGGGAGGATTTGTCTCTATTTAGGGGGCCTGTCCTAAGTCAGGGAGGGAGAAATCCCCACCTCTCTGGAGCCAAGGGTCAGAAAATGAGACGGCAGTGACTGACAGGATGACGTTTATTGGAGTCCTGGAGACATTGAGGAGTGGGACGAGGGGTGAGGTTGAGGCTCACGGGGGGAACCCTTTAGCCAAAACCCCCTTCCATTTGGGGTTTTGAGGAACACAGAGACAGACAAACCGACAGAGATGGAGAGAAAGACCAACAGGGGCTACAGCAGAGCGGGCGAGAAACCCCAGTGTCCACGACCTCCCACTCAGATGAGTTCACAGGATGGGGAAGGACGTGGACTGGTCCACACTCTAGAGGAAGGGGAGGAGTGTCTGCCCTACTCACTCTAAGGAGAATGGGGTACAGGCCGTAACCTGGCCCAGCCTATTCCAGTGGACAGGGGTGTGTGTATCTGGATCAATCCATCCTACCGGGCGGGGGGATTTAGAACCAGCCTATTCTAGTGTTTGAAGGTGGGGAAGATCACTAGGGTTGATCCATTCCGCAGTGGGGAGGGAGACCTAATTGGAGAGGAGGGTTGAGGGCAGGGGGCATCTACCCTGGTCCTCTTTCCGCATAGGGAATGAACTGGGGGCGGGGAGAGGCAGATTCCGGCTATATGCATTTTTGGGGGGCACCAGTGACTCTGGTGGGTAGCATTTGGAAGGGATCCAGGGAAACTCGGGGACCTGGTCCCCCACATTCTCCAGATCAAGGTCGTTGGGAATGATGGCTCTCAGGGAGAAGGGCAGTCCTCCCTTGCGGGAGGGGTGCCCATCTATAATTATTAGGGCCCTCAAGATGAGAAGCACTTGTGGAGACCCATTTCTCGTTCCTAGGTCCCCAGAGATTAGGGGCCTGTTGATTTGGGGGTGCACAGCAGGTATTCCCGGATCCTCAAGGTCAGGAGTCTCTCCGTAGATCTGGGACCCCGAGCTGAGGAATGTCTCTGTTTATTCGCTGTCCCCCAGCTCAGGGGCCTGTGTGGGTGTTTGGTGGCCCCATCTCTCCAGCCAGGGTCCCCTCACCTCGGGGCCCGAGTCTGGATTCGGGAGGTCCCCCGGCGCGGGCCGTGCGTCCAGCCCCGGGGGAGGGCTGTCTGGGTGGAGGCGCGGCCGGCGCCGTCAGTCCATGCCCCGGTGCAGCTTCAGGTGCCGAGAGAGGTTGCTGAGCGTGATGAAGCCCTTGCCGCAGATGTGGCAGGGGAAGGGCCGCTCGCTGCCGTGCAGCAGCCGGTGGCGCTTGAGGTAGCACTCGTGGCGGAAGAACTTGCCGCACTCGAGGCACGGGAACGGCTTCTCGCCCGTGTGCACCAGCACGTGCCGCTCCAGGTCGCGCGGTGAGCGGAACAGCTTCTCGCACTCGGAGCAGCCGAAGATCTTCTTGCCGCGGCCCGAGCCGGACGCGGGCTCCCCGGACGCCGGTTCCCCCTCGGGGGCCGCCGCGGCCGCC